GGCTGGAAATTCGAGAAAAGAGGTTAGTTTCTGTGTTTTTTTTTCTGTATTTTTTTTTTAAAAAAATCGATCACTGGCAACCGGCGTGTAAAACCGATTGGCCAATTGCGGTTAACGGTGATCGAAACCGGTTAACGGCAGTGGCAAACCAGTTTACCACGCTAGTTAGGTACCAGCGACGGTGGTTGCTTTTTTATTTTTGTTTTTTTTTTTTTAAATTCGAATTAAGGTTACCGGCGATTGTAACCTTGTGACCGTCGCCGTTAACCGGCGTGGAAAACCGGTTGACTATCACCGGCATACGGCAACCATAACCGGTTAATGGCGGTGGTCACAGGTTCACAAGTCACCGGTAACAAGCGGTTCATTGTTCCCCGTGGAGTGCTACCATCTTCTGATACATAATTGTTGGCTGTAGAACTTCTCTCATTCTTGCTGCCTTCGGCAAATTTCATGCTTACTTTATGAAGCCCTTTTGCCTGCTCATCTGCATCCCATTCCTTCATGCAATAGTCTTCTTCTGTAACACCTTGTTTTGGACCGACCAACAACAAATGTGAAAAGTTAAATATGAAATAGAGGTGTCAAATTCTGTTAGCATCAAGCGTCAGTGTCAAAATTCATCAATATGAGACATCATTGGTGACCCTAGGATAAATGTAGAGAAACATCTTACAATATGTATACAAATATTTGACGTGTCTAGATAATTTCCCAAGGCCACAGAAAAACCGAGCAAGTAATGGAATCATATCAGAAGACATAACCAATCAACTGAACATCAGCAAAGTTGTTTATATACACATATTTACCACAAAGCTGTCCTTAAGGTTCTAAAACCAACCTCAACAACTTCAAAGAGTCCAAACTCCAAAGCAATGGCAGTCTGGTAGACCTACACATTCCTCATGGAAAGATTCCCCTACATATTTGCTAATTGATTAGAGCAACAAGGCAGCCTAACACTATGAGCACTATAAAATATGCTTTCATCTTTGAATTGGATGTAATTGTATTAATATGATCATTTAAAGTTTTAATATTTGTAATTGTAACAAGGAAAGATAAAGGAAAGCAGCTAGTGAAGGTTTAATTTAAGGTTGTGGACTTAAAAGTAGTTTAAGGTTCTAGTTAGATGGAGTCTTTAAGTGAAGAGGACTTGGTCACTGTTTGGTTAGGTATTGTCTAGTTAGAATGGACAACTTTGATCTATTCGGTGTTGACTTTGGGGTAATAGCTAGAATTTATGCATCTAGATACATGGCACAATTAAGCGGCCTTAATGTTGAAAGGAACTCCACATTAATGGATAATGTTGCATATTGGCTGGAGAAAAAAGCTTAAATTGTGGATTTTTTTTCTTCTATTTGACACTGCATATAGATCACATGATGCTCCTCCCTGCTCGAATATCAGGAAATTACTGTTTCTCAATGATATTTTATGAAAAATTGAGGGGCAGTGAACCTGTGAGGGACAATGGTCACAGTACTAATTTTTATCATCATTATTATTATGAAAAAGTGAGGGACTAATATTATGATTGTTATTGTTTTTTTTTTTACAGTTATGGTTATTATAGTTATTTTATTATCATTATTATTATAATTGATTGTAAATATTTTGTTCATTTGGTTATGACGACAGTTGGGTAGGCTCAAAATGACGTTTGATCGTATTGATGGCTCGGGTGAGAGACATACAAGGACTCGTGCAGTGACTGCTTCGACTAGGAGACTGAGGTCATAAGCTCCTATAGCTGATGGCGTATGTGTTGATGATGAGGTTCAGGGACGTGAGGGTGAGGACAAGGAGGAGGAGGAGGAAGAGGAAGAGTGGGACGAGGATCAAATTAATGATTTGATTTACGATGATGAGAGTTTGAGATCTATTCGACGCCGGGGAGGCAGGGGAGAACAAGGCCAGACGTCGTCTGGAGTCACTTTGAAGAGAGGTGCTGATGGTAGATTTCAGAGTACTGGAGTTGGTACTTCCCGAACTCGTAAAATTCGTGTTATCCGAGCATCGAATGATACTTCATGGCTTGTTCAAGCTCAAATGCCGGGTGGTCCCAAGGATGGTAGTCTCATTCCCAGTTACGCAGGTCACATCGCCACGCAAATTTGGATGGGGCCGCAAAAAGATCGTGACGTGTTAAAGTGTCAAGCTAGGACGCAATGGTGCTCAAATTTACATGAGATGCACAGTGCTATGGCCGATGATGTGCGTAGACGAGTTGATAGTACTGGTTTGAGTGGGCTAGTTAACATCATGCATCATCACATTGACTGGGCCCTGATTTCAGCGTTTGTAGAGCGCTGGCAGCCAGACACAAACACTTTTCACTTCCCATTCGGCGAGATGACTATTATGCTCCATGATGTACAGTACATACTTGGGTTACCTGTGGAGGGTGATGCTGTTGTAGAGCAAAGCGGTGTTGCGTCTTTGAAGGCTGACTTTCAGAATTTTTTAGGGATAGGAGCAGACAAACTTGTTGCCAAGCCAGCAGCCATTTGGAATAACGGAAGGGTGTCAAGTCAGGCCATATATGAGAGATGCCTAGCAGAGAGAGGTGATGCTGATATCCAGGTGCAGGGTTTCTTGTTGTTAGTTCTAGGAAGCACTATTTTTGTCGATAAGACTTCTCACAACCTTCACAAGCATCTAGACGAGCACGACTTCTCACATTGTAGATATGTCTCTTGTTAGGGCTCTCATTCGGAAACTTCTCTTTCACGGCTACCATAATGTGACGCGGCTTGGCTGCAGCAGAAATCATGTCAATAACAAGCGTCTTTGCAGCTGGACTAAGACCACTAACCTGTCAGTGACCCTCTCGATATACCATGAGCGGATGGTTATGCATGCCTTTCAAGCCCTTTTTAGATTTAATTATCCATCCTTCCATGTCCCGCAAACATCGAGCCGAGATTTGAAACGTACATTTACAACCCTTGCTCTTCGTGTTCTTCCGTGTGGCATTTTCACGGTCCCGATTTTCCCCTCTGTTTCTCTCCCCCCGATCATATTTCATGTAATTAATTGGAAGCCCATTTCTTTGTTTCTTATACGATGAATTTGTCAAAAAGAACCCTAATGGAGTGGCAATTTCTCTAGCCCAATCAACAGCTGCTTGATAGGTCGGGAAAACTTCTCTAGTCTGAAAATGCGGGCTATAATCAACACCATCACCGCCGTAATCTGATAATGACGCCTGATACAAATAAATAATTCTTTTAATTAATAATAACGAACAATATAACATTAATAATTATAATTATAATTATAATAATAATCTTAAATAGAATAATATTTATTTATATTATTCATACTAGTATAAAAGTTAATACAATAATATTAGTTTTTAAAAAAAAAAAAAGCACCGTCACCACACTCAACCGGAGCTGCAAACCGGTTGACCAACATGGGTTACCGGATTTTACCACCGGTTGACCGTGACGGATAACCGGATTTCAGCACCGGTTGCCCACGGTAACCTGCGTGGAAAACCGGTGGACCAACACGGCCAACCGGTGGTCAAAAACGGTTAACAACTGCGGTCAACCGCAGCATAAAACCGATTTCCGGGGAGGTTGACCGGTTTCGTGCACCGGTTGACCGGTTTCACATCAAGTTTTACGGCAACATATATGTAACTAGCTAATTTTTAATTTATTCCAAATTCAGCATAATTTATAATCATATTAGTATACAACTAGCTAATTAAATAAATAATCGTACTTGTTCAAAAGCCGAGGGTTGAGATTGCGGTTGGTTTTCCGACGAATCACCGTGATTATCATCCATTTCCGATAACTTTTCTGTTCGTGGTGGTGGTCAATCTATTAGTGGTGGTGGTCCGATGTAGGTAGTGACGCGGTAATTGTAGTCAATTAATTAAAATTAAATTTTTTTTTTAAATAATTGGGAAAATATTTATTAAGGGCAAGAAAGTCCCTTTACTTAAAATGATGGCGGTTTGATAAAAAACGTTGGCGGTATTTAGCAATCCACTAAGTTTATTGGGATGTGAAGAAGCTAAGTGATGTCATGTTATTGTTAATACCACCTTACATCAGCAACATTTGAGTTGGAATTAATTGTCTTATTGGAGAAAAGTTTGGTGATCTATTCCACTTATATCAATTTGACTATAATATGATATCTTGTTGAATTTGTATATGTTCAGATTTGTTCACTATCAAAATTATTAAACGAGAAATAAGTGGAAATAAGTTTACAATTAAACATTATGAAACCTTACCCCCTACTCCCTAGCAGTTTAAGTCAATTACTCAACAATCCTTTTCAATTCAAAAAATAAATAAAAGTTAATTTCATACCCTTTTCAGTAAATAGTACTTCCTCTGTTTTTTTTTATAGTTACAACACTTTTCTTTTCAAGTTTGCCGATTCATGTTTTTAATCGTTAATATCATTAATTCCCGACATGTAAAAATAATAAACATTTGATATTAAAATTGTATAAGTCGAGATGAATCTAGTAAAATCCAACATGACTATATTTTTACTTAAATATACATCGTCAAAGCGAAATATATGAATAGTGTAAAAGTCAAACTGTTGCAACTATTAAAAAACGGAGGAAGTATATAGAACTCAACATCTTTATGAATCAAGGTCAAAGAATTCCATGTTTATATATCTTAACAAAAGCAATTAGTTTAAGTGAATTAGTAAATATTACAACACCATTTCATCGACAATTATTTAATTCAGCAAAACACACTACAAAATATATGAATTAAAAAAGTAAATACTTAGACTTGTTCTCCGACATAAATTTCTTTGGATTTGTAGGAAAGATTATGTTTAGATGTTCTAGTTTCTACATATGGTGTACGAACTACGAAGTACTAGTATATTAATTATATCAATATATCACTAACGTACCAAACTTGTAAGCCAACAAGCTATTGAGTACATAAATTTTCATGATGCACCACAAAAACATGGAAGCACAAATAATAGATAAAATGTATGATGCAGCACTTAAGGGAGACGTACCATCCTTGCTCGACTTGCTAGACGAAGATCCACTAATCCTTGATCGATGCAATATCGAAAATTCAAGTCGTGTGATGCAATCTCCTTTACATGTAGCTGCTAATTTGGGACATTTAGATTTCATAATTGAGATTCTACGTCGAAAACCAGAAATAGTTGAGGAACTTGATTATTGTTACACCAAAGGACCGTCACCACTACATTTGGCCTCGGTGAAAGGGCACTTGGAAGTTGTTAGACATTTGCTTGCAGTGAAGCCTAACTTATGTTTTTGGCGTGATGGGGATGGAAGGAACCCGGTGCATGTCGCCGCAATGTGTGGGCAAGTTCATGTGCTCCTTCAGGCTAACTCACAAGCAGCATGGGAGCGGACTAATAACGGTGATTCTGTTTTACATTTGTGCATTAAATATAGACAGCCAGAGGCTCTTATGTTTCTGTCGATGGTTCTAGATGATCATCAGTTGATTAACTTAAAGGATAGTGATGGTAATACCATCTTGCACTTAGCAGTGATTGCTAAACAACCAGAGGTGAGAATTCCATCCACTTTTAAAAACGGATTTTTTTTTCCCTATTTGATTTGCTAAATGCAACTTTTATATAAAATGAGAGTTTAACTTTTAAAATTGTATTAAACAGCAAACAAGGGAAATTGAACCCTTAACCTTCCCACATCTATACATCAAGTAACTAAACCAACTACAAAACTTGTATATTTTATACAAGATTTTATACAAGATTTTTTATTTATATGTATCAAAATCTGGGGAAGGGGGAGGGGGGCAAGGCCAGGGTAGGCCACCCCCTAGATCCGCCTATGCCTCTTGTTTTAAGTACAAAATTGCCATGCTAAACTATATGCTCACTACTTTGTAGTAGGAAATGTCTTATAATATAAATATCTCTAAATATTATATGTGCATAAAAATTACGGAGTATAAAAATTTGATAATTTTGTATCAGTTTTTGAAACAAATTCAACAAAATCCTAGATGGTTTATTTATTATGGATTATTAATGAAAATGTGTAGTCAATAAAATTTGTAATTCAGGTTTGATTCAGTCTTAAAATATACAATGAGATAATTTTTAAGAGACAGAGGGAGTACATTAGAGCTGAGCTTCAAGATGTTGGACATATAAAGATAAGAAAGTAATGATTATTTATTATTTCAATTTTGAATTTATTTGTCATTGCAGATTGTAACATTTTTACTAAAAGCCACATCCATTGAAGTAAATGCCATTAACACAAATGGCTTCACAGCAATGGATATTCACATTCGAAGCAAGAAGGATTTGAAGGATGAGGCAATTTTGCAGTCACTCAAGCATTACAAAGCCTTACAATCAAAGAATATGCTCAAAACACAAAGAATAGCAAGTGATCAAGATTGGTTGGAGAAAAAACGCAACGCGCTAATGGTAGTTGCATCCCGGCCTCATAGCAACCATGGCTTTTCAAGTCGGAATCAACCCTCCTGGAGGCACTTGGGAGGAAAATCAAAATAATCACGTTTCTTCCAAAATGACAACTATTGCAGGTGGCAATAAAAATTTGGACCATGTTACGGGTACATCTATAATGGCAATAAAAACTCAAGGTCTATACAATGCACTACTAGTTAGTAATACCATAGGACTAATTTCGTCTCTAAGTGTTATTCTTCTCCTTATAAGCGGGCTTCCCTTCAGGAAGCTACTTGTAGGAATTTTGACGATAACCATGTGGATCGCAGTGTCAGCTACAACTATGACGTACTTGTTCTCAATATGTTTTTTGTCACGCTATATACACGGCTCCGAACGGGACCGTACAACATGGGTTACATGCCTATGCAATATCATCGTTATTCCTTGGGCTTTGTTGATAGCAATTTTGCTCCTTGGACATGGCATTCGCTTTATAGCAAAGTTGATTAGAGATAGGTGCACTCAAGGATAAACGCATGAAATAAATAATCGATTTGTACTTTACATAATACTATTATGTAACAAATATTCGTGTTTATTATAAATACATACACAGATAGTCAGATACACTACAATGCAAGCTAAGGCTCCCAAGTTTGAAGAACATTTGCTTGAAGGTCCGCAGAGTATCCTTACTTTTTCCCATACCTTTAGATGTCGATTTTGTAAGTAATGAACAAAAAAAAAAAAAAAAAAAAAAAAAAAACTGAGATGGTTAAGGACTTAAGGGTTGACGTGGAAAAAAAAAATCAATAGCAAGCTAATCTTAGATGATTTTAGATGGTTAATGACTTAAGGTTTCATGTCTTTTTATTCCTTTGATATCTTGTTAGATTCGTCTAATTGTACGGAGTATATTTTATTAGTATATAAGAATAATAATATTTTACTTTTTCACGGTGTATTCCTTTTGAAAGGCTGTCCACAACTCCACACTGTACCGTATCCTTGTATATTTCAAGCCTATTATACCCTTGTCGTAATTTAGCATTAGCAATTACTCTAAAAGGAAATGATAAGGCTCTGTTTGGTAATTAATAGCTGGTAGCTGATTGATGATAGTTGGTTGTATTAACCTAGTTTGACTAAATGGTTATATTAGGTAGTTTGACTAGCTGGTTGTAAATAGCTGATTATGTAAAAACATTTGGTAAACATTTGTTAGTTATTAGTTGTTTTAGTGTATTTAATAGCTAAATAGCTAATTTCAAAAAACTCTTATAATGAGTTTTTTGAGCCCAAAAAACACTTTCAATAAGGTATTTTTTTTTACCCAAACACTCATATTAGCTTTTTAAACTGATCAAACAATTAATACGACTTAATAAAAGAGTGATTCCCATAAAAATATTTCAAAGATGCAAATAAAAATTTCCAAATTACACTTCTCTTACAAAAAAAAATTCCCCTATACCATCCAATTCAGCATCTAAATTATTTTTTCCCCTATGATTTAGTAGTAAACTGCTAGTTGAATTTAGTAGGTTTTTTTTTTTTTTTTTTTATTTTTTTTTTTTATTTTTTTTTAGGAAATTGAATTTAGTTGTTAAGTGAAATAACACCCATAATTACAATGCACAAATTTTTGTTTGCACCAAAAAAAAAAAAAATTCAAATGCCTTCTTTCTTGTTTGGCATTGTTTTTGTTTTGAGTTTTCAGTTTTTTTGAAAACAAAAAACCAAAAACTGGAAACAAGAAAAAAGTGTTTTCACTTTTCTGTTACCAGTTTTCAAAATTAGCATGATTTTAATAAGTTTGACTAAGCTTTTATTCATCATATGACATATATCATACACTTTTAAAATACAAAAAACCAAAAAACTGAAAACCGCAACAATGCCAAACAAAACATAACCAACTTGTTGATGTGGTCAGTAAGGAGAAACTTTTGTTTTTTTGTTGGTGTAATTCCGAAATTTTTTGCATTTTAAAAATAAAAATTACTCTAGATAAAGCTAAAACACTTTAAAAGGAACTTACTCTAGATAAGACCTTGTTTAGTCCACCTTATTTTTACTTATTTCAAAAAAAAAAATAAAAAATTTCAGATCAGACCAGATCAGAAAAAATAAGTCCAGATCAGAACATCGTTTTATGTGCAATTTTTTATCGCTAAATATCTTTAATTTCATAACAAAAAAATTATGAAAATTACATATTAATAAAATACACATTATTACGGAATTTAACAAGAGCCCACTTAATACTCCCTCCGTCCCTGAATGATAGTCACTATTTCCATTTTTGGACACCCAAAATGTTAGTCACATTTCACAATTTTTGTAATTTCATTAGTCATAAATCCGTGTACTTTCATTCTATTGGATGATGTAATTTTTCAGCTAATTTGATTGGTTAAAAATCAATCACATGGATTACAAAAGCATTGCTTTAATTTCATTGGCTGTGTAATAAAGACAAAAAAAACCCAAAGGTTTCTCTTTGTAATCCGCCCTTTTTAATGACAGCAACTTTCTCTCTTACCTTTTGTTTTGCAAATGATTGAGTTTTAGTTCCCATGTACTTCATTTATTTCTCCTTAATTCCCGTGATTTTCACCCAAAAGTGACTATCATTCAGGAACGGACGGAGTATATTTTTTTCTTTGAATATTGCCGTACACTTAAGATTAAAGTTTGGTCAGATCAGACTAAATCTCATAAGTTTATATACGAGTAACCAAATATAAGCCGAACTAAAGAAGGCATAACTTAAAATAAACAATAAGGCACATTAAACACTTTTTTCAAATTTAGGAGCTATACCGTAAAAAAAAGGCAATAAAAAACAAACAAAAAAACATTTCATCGCAACTCGCAAGTCCTAACGGTCTATTCCACCCTTTAGTAAAGGCGGTGAATAGTTAAGGTGGGTTGAATACTTGAATTGAATGGTGTGTTTGATAACATCAAAAAACCATCCAAACCTCTAGCACCTTCTCCAATAATCACCTTCATTCGCGCGACACATTCAACAATCAATTACTTGTTCAGCAATCCGCCATTGATGACCTCATCAAGCTACCTCTGAAATCTTTTCTTTCTGCAAAGATACCCAGGTATTCTTTGCCTCCCTTTCTCCCATTTCTTTATTTCCCGTGCTACATTTACGTTATTCTTACATTATTCTAAAACTTTCATAGCTTAATCTCCTAATTAAAAATTAAAACTTACAATTTCATTCAATTTGACCACTCCAATGTAGCGGAATTCATGTTTAATTTGAATTTTATCTGCTCTGTAAGCTTCAATGTCAATTTTTAATAATTTAGCGTTATTTATCTTGTTCTTAACGTCTACTTGATTGCATCTATAATTATCAATTTAGCCATTTTAGTTTTTAGATTGCTTATTCGGTTTGTTCAATTGAATTGATTTCGTATTGTCTTATCATTTAATTACCTCCGTTACATATTATTTGCAACGATTTGACATAAAGTAGAGTGGAAAAATGTCTAATAGTTGCAAATATTATGAAACAGAGGCAATATATTGATCTTAAAACTTACATTCGATTCTAATCAAGGGTTTTTTTTTTTTTACCTTTTGAAACCTTTATAATTAGTCTTGTACAAATTATGTAGTTTTTCCATATTATAAAAGTGTTTATAAGTTTAAAGGGTCTTTGGTTATTAGCTTTTTGGAGCAACGGGAGATGTTTGGCCATTTGAAAAAGCTCTTTGGAGTGTTTGGTTCTCCATTAAAAAAACTCATATGAGGAGTATGAGGTTTTTGCAAGAGCTTTTAGCTTTTTGGTTGTTTATGTTTTAAAACAGTTATTTACCAAACACTTTTACATCAATAGAGCTGATTACAATCAAATAGTCAAAACAGCTAATGCAAACTACTAACAACTGGTTAAAACAGGTAAAAGCTAATTGTCTAACAGGGCCTAAGTAAACTTGAGAAGTTCGAAAATTTATGTAAACATGGAAGATGGAACATTGTGACACTATAGATATGATAAATGGCATTAGTCATATACTCATATTCTTTTGTTGTTGTAAAGAGAGCCACAAAGGGTGGTACTGGTGACTAGACACAGTTTTGGTTAGCACCCACCTTCATTTCAACCAAGATAGATGACATACTCATTGATACGGAGTGATAGATATGTGCTTCACACTGTTTGAGGAAAGTGTCATTTTTATAGATTTAGATTAGACACTGACAATTTTCCATCGCCAGGATGAAGTGCTCGTAGATTTAGCAAGTTTATTCCTTATCTGAAATTGTTCTTTACTACATTGATTAAGCCAATGCAACTAAAATGAAAACAACTTTAAGCTGCTTTGCAGATTACTTTCGTAGCTACACTCTCTTTATCCCTCATTGAGTGACACTCAATTGTATAGCGTGATTGGTTGATGTTCCTATTTCTTATTAAGTCTATGAGCCGACTCATTGTTAGTTCATTACATTTTCCCCACTGTTATCCCTTGCTTGTAATGGCTGCAAGAATTTTTGAGCAGATGAGCACAACTTGTGGATTCCCTTGAGTAGTGGATATGCTATGATTGCCTTTCACAGATTAGTGATCTTATTTTCTTTCTCAGATTTGATTTTCCGCTTCAACTTTGAGTGATAGTTCCATGTAGTATATTGGATACTACGTATGTTTTTGTGCAATCGGCATGTCGGCCTTTTAAAAGCTGTGTGCTGAAAACTGTTGTATATTCAGCTTGTTTTCTAGGTTTAGTGTTCAGTTGTTTTAGCTCTAAACTCTAGTTTTCTGAACCTAATGTTGATTGTACATTCTAACAAAGTCCTCATAGAAGCTGCTCCAAGTTGTGATATGTAACTGAAGATAAAGTAACTCCACATGCTTTAGAGTTGAGCTCTAGCTCTAGGCCTCTAGCTCAACTGCTTGAGTTGTGCTTGACTCAACTGAGCTTTGCTTTAGCTGACTTTGTATGCGAAGGAGCTTACTGAGTTGTTGGTTAGGTCATTGTTACCTGACTTAAATTATAAATTCAATTTTTTTTTTTTTTTTTTTTTTTGAGAGAGTGGAATGAGAAGCTAAGTACTCAGGGTAAAAATAGTTACACTTTCATCTCATTAGCTGCTTTATGCTGATGGTCAGGTGGCATTCATTATGCGGTGTTTCTGGTGTTAAGTACTTAAAGTTGCTCTGGATTAGTTAACTTGAGGAGTGTTTGCAAGGCCTTAGAATGATGGTAGTTTGCGCTCCTATCAAGACTTGCACCAAAAATGTGCTTCCTATTAGTGGGTGTTTTCAAAAGCAGATGAGAGGCCATGTTCATAATATGGGATCCCCCACTGCATCTAGTTCATGCTGTCTCATTTTGAAACAAGAAATCTCTAGAATAAGGTATTCTCGAATATTTGTCTCCAGACAGTCATTATGGTTTTCCAATTGTAGCTTCCGTGCATTTCAATGGATTCAGTGCAAATCTGGTGTATCCAGTAAGAAGGGATCATGTCCTTTATTAACGGCTAAAAGTTCAGCAAATGCTAGAAATTCTCAAGAGACATCAATTGGTTTCTCATCTTGGCCTCAAGATGCTAGTGTAAACATTTTTGTGCCAAGAAGAAGACTGCTGTCTGATTTTAAATTAAAAGTTGGACCATTTTCTTGGTCAAAGGGATATGGTGGTGTCGGTTTGATTTCTGGATTACTATTTTGTTATTCCGCTTCAAATCCAGTGCATGCTGAAGCTTCAGAGGATGCAGGAGACAAAAAGGAATGCACAAATCCATCAACTGACCATGTTTCCCATGGAAAGAAAGTGTACACCGATTTTTCTGTCATAGGTATGAGAGTATATGATGACTTATTACTGTTTCAATCATATTTAATTGCAAACACCAGATCCTCTAATACGTCCTAAAGGTTCTTGAAGTCGGTAAAACTTTGCAGGCATAAAAGATATCAAAGAAGCATCTAATATTTAGTCTACCCACATTTACAATTATTATTCATATGCATTTTGGGGCAAGTAATAAAAGAAAATTTTGTAATTTTATAGGATGGAGAGAGTAGTTTGATAGCTTTATGCAGACTGTAAAGAGATATGTATGTCTTCTTCAAATTTTTATTTGATAGCTGATACAAGTTGGAGAATGACTATTCTGTGTGCTGTTTGTGTATGGAGAAGATTCATGCCTCTCTCCCATTCTAATCATTCCTTTGTTCAACCTCTGTTCTACACTGTTTATAATATGTCCCATTTTGGCAAAGCTTACTAATTTTATTGCTTCTATTTTAAAATAATACATCGAGTTTCAAAGGGAAAAAAAAAATTCAATATTGGATATTTATTCAAAATCTATTCTTATAAGTGTTTAATTGTCTTTATGAATATGTAAAAGTAATAATTAATGGTCAAGGTTGTAAATTGAACTCCATAAACAGACATGGAGAGTATTTTTATGCTTTGTGCTGGAATAGTTTCTTTAGCATGGCCAACATGATTTTTCACTGCTCGTGGTGCAGGAATACCTGGAGATGGAAGATGTTTATTTCGTTCTGTTGCTCATGGGGCTTGTTTAAGGCGTGGCAAACCTGCTCCAAATGAAGGCCTTCAGAAACAATTAGCTGACGAGTTGCGGACTATGGTACGTCAGTCTATGAAGTGTATGGAGATTCATGACCAATTGTATATGTATTTAGTTTCTATTTAGCAGGATTAAACCAAAAAAAAAAAAAATCATCACTGTTTATAACATTTTACGTTATTGAAGAGAACCTCACCTAGACTGTTATTTCAAATTTCCAATTATACTTCTTGCAAATCCTTGAACCCTCAGGCTACAATTCCTGATAGACACACATGTAAACGTGGTAAAAATCAAAATTTGTGTTGATTCTTTACATCTCAAAAGGCTCCATATTATATTATGAATGATGTCTGCCACCCACGAGTGATTGTAATGATGTAGTTTCATTTTTTAAAATCTTATCTTTCAATTTGATCTCTAAGGTACGAAATTGCCTCAGCTGAGTTTAGTTTACCATGGCAAACCTCTCTCTTGCTATGACTGTAGATATCATAAATGATTTAATAATTAGAATGCATTTTCGTACATGACACCAGAATCTTGCTTTAGCTCAGCCAAAAGCATATCCTGGTAGCAATGTAGCATTATCAAACATGAAATTGCTCATATGTGAATAACATGATGGTTTCAGGTTGCAGATGAATTTATTAGAAGGCGACAAGAAACTGAGTGGTAAGTACTCTTTATCATCCCCAATTATCTCAGAGTAAGGGGCAGTTCCTCTTGTGTAGTTCCTATGTTTCTGGTCATTCTGGTAGATTGTCTAGGGTAATGGGGCTTAAGGAGCTGAAAATACAAGAAATCAATATTCTAGTAGCCAACTTCATTTTCTTGTTACTTTAGGTAATTGATTATTAGCTTCATTAGGCTGATTGTGCTGTAGTTGTCAGTAGATCAGTGCTTAATTAATCAAGGGAATTGTTTAAAATTTATGAAATATTCATCAATGGTACACTAGTATATGTGTTCTTTTGCTCTGCACCATAATGAAGTGAAACAATTTAACTGTCCAGGCCTCTTTGTCAATGTCAAGTAGCTGATGGGAATCGTATTTCACCTTAAAGTCTACTTAGAAACTTCTCTGTTGACCCAGGGGTAATGTATTGGTATCCTCTCCCTCCTTTCCAACACCAAGAATAAAAAGTAACTTTGCCCTGGGTGGAGGTCTATTAGAAGTGTCGCAGGAGAAAAAGTTGATGTAACAGTAGATACACACACACACACACAATTGCCAGAACTATATTATACGTAGTAGTTGGTTATAGAAAAATACGTAGGAGATTCTTCTGTTGTTCTGTATTATGTTTTTTTCCCTCTTTACTTGCTATTCTGCATAATAATCCCTTGGATTTCAAAGTTGTTATTCTTTGTTTACGACTAGGGTTCTGGCCAAGTGAAAGTTCTTGATGGTATCATGATGACAACAGGTTTATTGAAGGTGACTTTGACACTTATGTTTCACAAATAAGGAAGCCACATGTATGGGGAGGTGAACCTGAGTTGCTTATGCTCTCCCATGTGTTAAGGTATGATTCTAATTGTGATTCACTTGTACCAGTGATATTGATGGGAGAGTGCAGCTTTGCTAGTCTTTTGCTCTATAATATATTCATTCTTTGCTGCAAATCAGTGCACCAAGGGTTTTAATCCTTATATATCTATCGCAGGATGCCAATTACAGTTTATATGCGTGATGACAAATATAACGGACTGATACCCATTGCTGAGTATGGCCAGGAATATGGCAAAGACAACCCGATACAAGTTTTATATCATGGTTATGGTCATTATGATGCATTACTAATGCCTGGAAAGAACGGTACCAAATCTAGGTTGTAGCTTCTTTTCTATCGACGACTACTAAAGCTGCCAATTGCAACCACAGGCAAGATGGAATTATTTGTCTGTCTGTCGTGGAGCCATTTAGATTTACAAAAGATTTCCTGTATTGAATAGCTGGTGATGTAGCATATGGAGCTTAAGATGGTTAGTTACAATCTCCAAGCACTGTTCACTGGTGAGATATATTCATATATTCTTCCTTTATTTCAATTAATTTCGACAACAGATTACTATATGAAATAGAAATTGGTTTCTAACTCATTTCCATGCTTACTGTAAATTCTGAATTTTTTTAAAATTTTATTTTTTACCACTATAAATTCTGAGTTAATGTGCTTAGGGCCTGTTCCGATTGACTGAACTCAGCTGAACTGAACTGAACTTATTAATTAGTGATTTTTAACTACGGTTTAGTGATCTTTGATTATTTATTACTATACATATATATATATACAAATGTACATATTATTATTATTATTATTATTATTATTAATTATTGATTATTATTATTATTATTTTATTGATTATTATTATTAGTATTATTATTTCAATTATTATTGTTATTATTATTATTGTTATTATTATTATTATTATTTATTGTTATTATTATTATTATTTATTGATTATTATTATTATTATTATTATTATTATTATTATTATTTATTACTTATTAATTATTGTTGTTGTTGTTGTTGTTGTCGTCGTCGTCGTTGTAATAAGAGCTTAAAAGAATGAAATTTGGCTTTATATCATTAGTAATATCATTAGACGTAAATTAAGAGCTGAACTGAACTGAGCTGAGCTGAACTGAACTGAATTTCAACGGAAGAGAACAGGCCCTTAGTTGCATCAATTACTATCATGGTGTTTGTGGTTTCTGAAGATCATTTAGTATTGTTTAAGGCATTCAGTGTAAGGTTAATTCTAAAATTTGAAGTTTTAGCCTTAATTTGTTTTCTTGTTAAATTTGTTTTAGCCTTTGATGGTCATTCAAAGCATAACCATTATGAAATGGAGTATGATGTCATACTCTGTTAGTCTGTTCTTTAATAATTGTCTCATTTTTTATTTTCATTTAACTAAGAGTTGTATTGAGTAAGTAGGTAGATTTTTTTTTTCCCTAATAGTATGTACGGTAATTGAGATAGAGGATTGGCTGAGATCATGCTAAATAAAATGAGACAATCTTTAAGTTACGAAGAATTCGAGAGGAAGCATTTTTAATCTGAATTTCTACACTATGTGCTTATGTCAATGTGAGTAGTATTTTTACGTGATTCAGAATTGTTCTAAAAATATGAATATATGATTACTAATTTGAACACCCTAAAATGGTAATAGTGGTGTTTTAGTCACATCATATCATTCCACAACATGTCATAACCACCATTTGTCTGCCTATTTATCATTGGAGTAATAGAAAATGTTTAAATGTATATTCTCTAATCAATTAGCATATGACCCCCGCCATCATATTCAAACTCACTCTGTCACTTAGACCTAGCAAACACGTCATTCCGGCCGGGTTCGGGTTGGGTCAATTCAGGTCGGGTCAAGTTCGAGTCAGCAAATGTTTTGGTCGGGTTCGGGTCGAGTCGGGTTGATTCGAGATTCGGGTCAAAATCGGGTTAGCACTTCGGGTCAAGTTCGGGTCAGGTCAAGTTCGGGTCGTGTCAATTCGGGTCGTGTTTGTTCGGGTCGAGTAAAATTTTTAAGATCAATTCTCGGGTCAATTTCGGGTCGGGTCAAATTCGAATCGAGTCAATTCGGGTCAAGTTTGTGTCGGGTCACCAAAATAAATTCACTTAAAAAAATAGTTGGAAAAATAAAGTAAAATCGTTAAAAAAAAAAAAATGAGTACCTATTACGTAGGAAATAAAGAAGCCCTAAACTAAGTAATTCACTATTTCACTCTATTCACTTAAGATTCGGGTCAATTCGGATCGGGTTGATTCGGGTCAATCAATTTGGGTTAAATTCAGATCGGGTCACTTCGGGTTTCGGGTCAATTTCGGGTCAGGTCATTCGGGTCGGGTCACTTCGAGTCATCGGGTCATGTTCGGGTCAACTCTATTTCGGGTCGGGTCGGGTTAGTTCGAGTTTGGGTATTTTCGGGTCAATGATTTCAGGTCAACTTTCGGGTTACGGGTCGGGTCATTCGAGTCGGGTCAATCAGGTCAGATCAGGATTGTCAGGTCTACTGTCACTCATGTCCTCAACAAATCTAATATGGGGTATTTTTACTTTATAAGATCTTTTTGACAAGAGAAGAATTTCATGATACTCCCTACTTTTTTGTTATTACTTGTACAATTTTTTTGGTAAGTGATTATAAAACTTGATCAAGTTAATTACTTAATTTCAAAGTTATTATATTTACTCCGTAGTATGTACAAGCAATAACATAGTTATAATTGACCTTGTTTGATAATCGTCTGTTATTGGTTGTTAGATACTTAGATTTAGGGCGTGTTTTTATTGACTGAACTTAGCCGAACTGAACTGAACTAAACTGAATATTTTATAAGAGAAGGAAATTAGAAGCTGAACTGAACTGAGCTGAGCTGAACTTAAACGTATGAGAACATGCCCTTAGTTTGAACTACTATTAATGTCAGTAGTTACCTATGTTGGTTATTTGATTTTTGATGTATAATGTATAAACATGTTTAGTAATCACTGTGTTTGTAACTATGCAAAATGACCTCGAGGAACTTGAAACTTGATCTACTCACTTTGGGGTTTATAGGATTCCTTTGGTTGTCAATGGAGATTAGAGATAAAATTAGTGGTACCAATTACATGGGAGCGGACCGTTTATGATCCGTGAGTAGAACTGTAGGAGTTAATCAAAAAGGGCAAACAGCCAAAGAGACGTAATAATCTCTACTTTTTGGTGCGTTGAGTTTAGCAAAAAGTTGATTTAGGTGGAAACTGGAAAAGACGATTCACACTCACATGTCTCTACTCCTCCATTTATTTGATCTTGACAGCTTTTTCCCTAATAAGGCCACTACTCTAGATAAAGAGTTGACGCTATCATCACTTCTTTGGTGACTTTGGACCTATATTGGTGACTAATTTGTTTATTCGATTCAAATTGTTGATTTTGGATCCAAACAAATTTAAATTGTCCCAACCCCATGCATTAGGAAAACACGAATAGGAATTAATTTGTCTCACTTAAAACAATTTTTGTTTTTTAAAACCTCAATTGTAATTGTATGATTTTATGAATTAGGCGGTGTTGTATTTGATTTATGCTTAACTATAATGGATGATATAAAAAATTGATGATTGAAATAAACAAGATTCAAAAAATAATGATTGAAATAAACAAGATAAGTAAGGATTTACGTGACTCAACCTACTAGATTAAATGCTTAGTAGTCGTAATGAGAAAATCACGAAGATAGGATATGGAGTACAAAACTGGGACGAAAACGAAATTGAACATGTTCAAGCGAAAATGTAGAAAGACTACACATACAATGGTTGTATGTGGGCCTCTTCACATACAACCATTATTGGCTGCATTTGATTGGTTTGCATTTTGAGGTCCACTTTTTCCATTTAGTTTCTTCCTATTTTTCACACTTATTTTTTTCCTCCCTTTTGATGTGACATGCATATAGATATATAATGGTATTGTATGTGGGTTACCACATACAACACTGTATATGTAGCATCACTTGAAAAGATAATAAAAAGGCAACACATCATGACATCAATCTATTCGCCATATCCTCATAGATCTCATCATCAATATTTAATGGCATTAATGTTTAAAATATCATAATTACACAAAAGAAGTCTTCTAATTCAAATTATTTTCCTTTTTCTGAATTTATTTATATCTTAAAGTCTAAACTAGAACAATACATGTATATATGACTAGTGAGACTCTTAGTTATCAGAAGTATATGACTAGAACAATATGCTACATTAATTTCCTTAGCAACAACTCAATTAAATTAGAAGACTAAGTAGTTGTCAAAAAAAAAAAAAAAAAATTAGAAGACTAAGTAAAATTTACAAATTATTACATCACATGTATGCATGAAAACTTCGCTATGAAATATGGGAAAACATCTCATATATAATAAGGGTATGTTCTCATTGACTGAATTGAGCTGAGCTGAACTGAACTAAACTGAAATGAATATTTGATAAGAGAAGGAAATTAGGAGTTGAACTGAACTGAACTGAAATGAATATTTTATAAGAGAAGGCAATTAGGAGCTGAACTGAACTAAACTGAAATGAGCTGAGCTGAACTGAACCGAACTTCAACGTATGAGAACAGACCATAAGTGAATGCATTGAAAATTGAAAGAAATCCGTTTCTAAAGCCCAATCGAAGTTAATGTATGCTCAAGCTTAAACTTTAAATGCAAAAAGTGCATCTGTGAACAAAGCTTGAATAAATCAAACTCTTAACAATTCAGCCTCAAATAAAATGTTTGGAACCTCATTTTTTATCAAGATATCTCGTACACTAATATTTTCTTACTAAACTAAGCTCAAAAAGACAAAAAATCGGCTCATTTTGGGTTCGATCTTTTTCAACCTTATTCATAAGATGAGACTAGAAATAACATTCGAATATAAATAAAGCCCATATACTTCATAATCCATATGAATACTTTAGAAGTGAAATCGTCCATACGTCATATACGAGTAGTTTTATGAATAAATAAAGTACTCCGTATAATTCATATAAGGCTTTTTTTTTTTTTTTTTTTTTGAGTTGTTGTGGTCTGCACTGCTAAGCTACTCTGCTCTGTTGACCTACTATGCTCTCTGGCAGAAGCTCAGAAGAATAGAACTTAAATCGTCTATACAAACATACGGCGTAATGGCGTATAGTTTAATGAAGAAGTATTTTGGACCAAATAGTCAAACACACCCATAACTCCATAAGGCATAAGTCTCCCTCCACTTGGTAAGAAGAGAAATTCAAAAATGAAGCATACGCTCAAACATGTACTATATGTCTATATGCAATTTTAGTACACACTATAATGGCCCCTCTTCTCGAAACCAACACTCCACAACAAACACCACCTAAAAACAACATCGATACCAACAACAATCTCCACACTTTAAACACCTTTCAATTCAAATCCTAATAAAGTAATAATGCTTCCCTTTCGTCTAATTCTTTGGCCTCTTCTCCTTCTTCACTCCTCTGCAACTCCTTCTTCCTCTGCTACTGCAACACCTTGTTGCTTTCTCCTCTTTCCACCATTTTCAATCCCCAAAAACCTCCATTTTCAGCCATGAAAACACCCACATTTTTCACCCTTTTTCTCCTCGTAAACCTCTCTTTTTCTCTCTCCTCTTCCCTCAACTCCGACGGTCTCTCCCTCCTCGCACTCAAATCCGCCATTACTTCCGACCCAACTCGCTCTCTCTCCTCCTGGTCCGAATCCGACCCGGACCCATGTAACTGGGTCGGAGTCCGCTGCAATGGCGACCGAGTTACTGACGTCACTCTCTCTAACAAATCGTTAACTGGGTATCTCCCTTCTGAACTCGGCGCTATTCTCTCTCTTCGTCGTCTTTCTCTCTCCTACAACAACTTCTCCAGTACTATCCCACCTCGTCTCTTCAATGCTACTTCTCTCACTTCCCTTGACCTCTCTCATAACTCACTCTCCGGCCCGATTCCGGCCCAAATCGAGTCTCTTACGGGCCTCCGGTTCTTGGACCTTTCATCGAATTTCCTAAACGGGTCGCTTCCGAGTGGGCTCAGTGAGTTGACGTTACTCGAAGGGACGCTGAATTTGTCGTATAATCAGTTTTCCGGCGAAGTTCCGGCGAGTTTTGGAATGTTTCCGGTGATGGTTAGCTTGGATCTCCGGCATAACAATCTCACCGGAAAGATTCCTCAGGTGGGGTCGTTGCTTAATCAGGGGCCTACTGCATTCGCCGGAAACCCTAATTTATGCGGGTTTCCGTTGAGTTCGCCGTGCCCTGAAGCGCAAAACCCTAATGTGATCGGAAACCCGGAAAATCCGGATGACCCGAAGAGCCCTAATTTGGGTAATGGGGAGAATTCAGAAAGTGGGGGGAAGAAGACGATTTCAATTTCGTTGATTTTAGGGGTTTTTGCGGTTTTGATTGCTGGGGGTATTTTGGTCTTTTTGTTCATTGTGAGGAAGAATTTGAGGGCGAAGGAGGGTAAAATGGGGAATTCTAGTGAGGAGAAGATGGGGAAAGGGGAGATGGTGAGTCACGTGAGGGTGGTTGTGGGGGAGTCGGATGATGATGAAGGGAAAAATGGTAAATTCGTGGTGGTGGATGAAGAGGGTTTTGGGTTGGAATTAGAGGATTTGTTGAGGGCATCAGCTTATGTAGTGGGGAAGAGTAGGAGTGGGATAGTGTACAAAGTGGTGGTTGGCGGTGGTAAAGGATCGGGTGTGGTGCCCCCTACGGTTGTTGCCGTCAGGAGGTTAAGCGAGGCCGATGATGTCACGTGGCGGCTTCGTGATTTTGAGACCGAGGTGGAGGCAATTAGTAGAGTCCAACATCCAAATATAGTAAGGTTCAGGGCATATTATTATGCACAAGATGAGAAGCTGTTGGTGTCTGATTACATTCGGAATGGCAGCTTGTACACTGCATTGCATGGTATAATCTCTCTTTCATTATTGTTATTGTGTTAATTAATGCTGCCTAGTTCAAAATTCAAATTCTTAGTACTGTACTTTGTTTCTTTGTTTAATTAATTGGTGAAATTATTTGTTTATGTTTGAAGACAAGGATGTAAGTTTGTTTGTGGTATCATTTAACACGGCTTCAGATTTAAACGTAGCGCATTTAATTTTTTAATGGAATGATTTACCTCGTAAAATGAATTCTAACATGAATGGAAGAGCCTGCTCATGTGTAAAAACATGGTGACATGGGTTTAGATATTATTATAATGATCAATCTGATGTTGAAATAGGAACATTGGTGCATAGGAGGCCTTTCTGTTTGTCTAACAAACTACTCGTATTGTAGCTTGGAAAATGTGATATGAAATTCAAGAATCAAATCATAGACCTAGTACCTACTGTTTTAAAAAAGTTCATGGAGGCGATAAGAGTCCTTTTCATGAGGCACATTTCTTGAAATTTAGGATTATTAGCTTCCATATTTTCGTACATTGCACGAGTTATAAACTTAATAATTATGTTTGACTTAAATTACTTGTGTGATTTTATTGTTCCTTGAATCTTAGATAGTTACTATGTCACCTATAGACTATGGTATTTTTCGTACTAGCACTCCAACAATATAGTCACTTCTTACTAAATACAAGTAAATTGCAAACTCAATACTCATAATTCTTGCATTCAAAGAAAATTAACTATAGGTTTATGATAAATAGATATTCAGCGCTGAAGAATCCTTCGGTAGCTCATTAAAGTTAAACTCTTACTCCGTATGTTACCTTGTCCTAAATACTATATATGTATTCAAACATTTTTAAACTATTTATTTTCAATTCAAAATTTAGTTTATAACATGGCTTGCTTTTGGGACACTCTCTATGCACTTGAAAATTCATCTTTCATGTAGATAGATTTATGTAAAAACTGGTTGCATATGTTAAATTAATGCTATTACTGTGCCTTTATGTGCTTTGCATGTCTCTTATATGCCTTAGAGTGCCTTTTCAAAAACTGCTATTATCTGATTTGATTTCTAGAATTTTTTTTTAAGACTTTTTGCCGTGTGCATTTAAAGACATGTACAATATAGAGCAAGTCCACCGAGCAGTTGAGTTAAAAGCAAATGGTGAGGCTGGAGATGCTAAAATTGTTATCAATACCATCGTTGCTGGGTCTGTAGTTGTTAAGATTTAGCAGCGATTAGTCTAATTACCATCTGAGTACCCGACTAGTTGAGACTCAAGTAGTCAAGTGTTGAACCAGTGGAGAAGCATTGTGAAAGATAAGTTACAAGTTGTAGGAGACTATGAACCAATTTCTAACCAGCCTTTAAGATTAAGAAAAGATGGTGATATTTCGTCTATTTTTACTGAGTTAGACAATTACATATTGATATGGATGAATTATGTAGTGATATTATCCTTCTTTTGGATTGCCTTTTCCACATCTAAATAACTATAACAAAGGGAAATCATTCTATCAAGGGTGGGGGACTCTTGAAAAAGAATATCTTCGATAGAATAGCTGCGTCCAAACTCCGAAGGTTCAAAACCAGAACCATATAACTGTGTCCTTAAAAAAGATATTGTATTTGTCATCAAATAGGCATATGTTGGCAGGAGAGGATCAGGGGAATCAGGAAAATGGTTGACAACTGGTGTTGCTACCGTGCAAGACCGTAGGGACTAGGGAGTAGTTTCTTGTTGCTATTTGTACTGTACCATACTTTTAAACGGTAAAGATATGCAAAAAACCACAAAAGTTGAAAATTTAAGTTAGGAAACCTTGCCTCCTATGCCCTACAGACCACACCACTCGGTCTACGATTTTTACATGTTCTCATTCAAATGGCTGAACAAGCAAGGGAGTCTGATACTCTTGAACTATTGAACTGCGGAACATGGGAATTTTTGCTTGGAAACCTGATAATTGATTTGGGTTCCTGGTAACCTGCCAAGCTAGCATGTGCTTTTTAGCACTTTAATTGTTAACATAGGCTGTATATAGTGCGTGATATTGAGTCTCTGGCTTTCCTTGTACTTGAAGGGGTGTGGTGGGGTGGGAGAGTAGTGTTGGGACCTTAGGAGTTAGAGTTGATAAGAGGGGTACAACAGATTACATCTCCTAGCATGATTGGCCTTTTGAAGAGGGATACTCACTTACAATAATGGGTGTTTGTAGCTTGTAAGATATACTGAGTAAAGCAGCACGTTCTACTTGTTTACATGTAGATAATGGGCTAATGTATCTGTGCAGAATTGATTAAAATGGCTGGGGTTTTTTTTAGAGTTGAAAGATTGTAATTGCTTTGGATACATCATACATGTATTTTTCGGACATTACATAGGATTCATGGATTACATCTCGTGACATAATAATGATTACCAACAAACATCTGATGTGTTGTTTTCCCTGGTATTCCTTGGGCCATCTTGTTGATACATGCCTCTCCACTTCCACATACAATACACACTAGATCATCTATTGCACTAGAATCTAGATGATGTATCCCACCTATATTGCCACATATTCAACTGTTAAAACTATGTGATGCTAGTATGCTACTGCAGTACTGCATAATCTTGTGATCATTTATCTGAATGGCACTTTAAATGGACTCATTTTGAGTATTTTACAAAATCTGTATCATGAGCTTTCTGGGAACAGTTTTCCCATAACCTTTGCCTCCTTACTTTTTCTGCATTTGAGTTGAACAGCAATCTTCAGCGTTGATTCCATCTGTGTCAATCTAATATTTAATGAGATTTCTCTATAATCATAATCAGGCTCAATGCATGTGTGTCACTAGTCTTATCAATGCCATGATCTAAGCTGTGTGTGCTTCTATTTGCTAATTCCATGCTGGTGACTTGGTTTAGGTGGATCCTCCAATGATTTGTCACCTTTATCATGGGCTTCAAGACTGAAAATCGCACAAGGCACTGCAAGGGGTTTGATGCATATTCATGAGTGCAGTCCGAGAAAATACGTTCATGGAAACATTAAATCATCCAAAATCCTACTTGACGAGGACCTTAATCCGTACGTCTCTGGGTTTGGTATCAATCGTCTCCAATGTGGGCGCTCAAAATCAGCAAACCCTTCATTAAAAAGGCCCAGTTTAAGCCAGTCTTTCTTAACAGGCTCCAAGGTCTTGGGTCCATCTGTGGTTGCCTATTCAGCCCCAGAGGTCCAAACTAATGGTGGCAAGCTCACCCAAAAATCTGATGTTTACTCATTTGGGATTGTACTGATGGAGATATTAACTGGTCAGCTACCAAGTGCAGGACCTGACAACGATGAAAAGGGCTTAGAAAGCCTTGTGAGGAAGATTTTTAGGGAAGAGAGACCTTTATCAGAGATCATAGATCCAGCTCTGCTGCATGAAGTTCATGCCAAGAAGCAGGTATTGGCCACATTTCATATGGCTCTAAACTGCACAGAGCTGGACCCTGAGCTGAGGCCGAGGATGAGAACTGTTTCTGAGAGCCTTGATCGTCTCAAGTTTCAATGAGAAGTAAGATGTTAAATAGTGTAAATGATTGTTAGAAGCATTAGGTTAACTCAATTGATGTAGAGTATCTTTGCCTATCTTCACTTCTTAGTAGTGATATTTTGTAGTAAGATGCCTTGTGTTGGTGTCAAAACTGGGAAGCGGGAAGAGTGTAGAATTTAGAAAGAATGATATCGTTACATATGCTGCCTGAATTTTTTTTTTGCTTTGCTCGGAGGTTCAGGGGGTGCATGGGAATTGGGAACCAACAGAAGTGACTTGACTATTTAGTGTGACCTATCTAGTTGATTGAATGACATTTGGTGCTAACACGACTAATGTTTGAATCGATATTTAAACTTTATTGGCTTCAATTTCAGTAGAATATGGTCTAGTGATTGTACAAACAATAGCTAATTGTGTTCTAGTTTTTCTAATTTTATTTGGGAAATTCTCTTTGGTAACCACAAACTTTTATCTTTTCTCAGTGATAAAGTCAGAAACTTTTAATTATCAATGGTAATCACGAATTAATATTATTAAGCAAATGGTAACTTAAGTTAAATATTTATTAATTCTTTAACCATGGTTTAGCTACAAGATTGCAAAAAGACACAACTATCCCCAAAAACAACCACATCTCCCTTCCCCTGATTTTCTTCCTTTCTTCTTCCAACATCAATCAACAGAAGACCGACCATAATCAACAGAAGTAAACGCAACATCGGAGGAACCCTCACACTCAAGGCTAACCAAAGGAAACCGCCGCTGAACACGACGATGACTTCGACTGGAAAAGTTGATCAACAAAGAGAATAGTAGGACGAAATCATCTTCAACCTCCCTGTTCATTTTTCTGCAAAACCCAAATTTTTGTTTGATTTATTAATTTATGCAGATCTTAATCTTAAAGCTCGAAAAGATAACACTGGATGATTCGAAAGTTCAGCAACTGAAGTAATTCGTTGATCTCTGCAAATCTTATCCTTCCATTCTCGAGCAGGCGACGACATTGATCCAAAAAGGATCGAAATTGCCGAATTGGGGTTGCTTGATTGTTTGCGAATTGGTGAAGAGTGGTGGCCGAAATTGAATAATGTTAAATAATTTTATAATTAATTTAAATTCAATGATTACGTTAATGTAGGTTTGCTCATTACTCGTTATTGGTGTGGCCGGAATTGGGAATTGGGTTCCCGTTCTATTGCTTTATTGTTTGCGTATTGTTCGTTAGTGGAGGTGGTTCAGGTGGTCTCTACAGCGGTGGTTCAGGTGGGCGGCTGTGGTGGTAGTTGGGGCAGTGTAGAGGAGAAGAAATAAGGGGGAGAGAAAGAGGGGAAATAGGGGAAGGGGGTTTCTTCGGTGTGCAACAGCACAAGGCTGCGGTGGTCGGAGGTGGATGTCTCCGGCGGGGGATGTGGCTGAGACGCCATCTCCGGGACGGGGGAAGGGGCTGGCGGTTGGCTGGTGGCTGTGTGGTTGGGGAGGGGTTTGGATTTTTTTTTTGTTTTTAAATAATTTGAAGGGTACTAATGTAAATTTATTGTTACTTAACCAAGATTAACCTTGGTTAATCATTTAAAAATATTTTTTATTATTAATTTTACCATTTGCTTAGTAATATAAATTCGTGATTACCATTGATAATAAAAAATTTCACACTTTACCATTGAGAAAAAATAAAAGTTCATGATTACCAGAGAGAATTTCCCATTTTATTTTTATATTCCAATTTTTTTTTTTATTATTTACATCACTTTCTTTTTATGAGTGTATTTTTAAAAATGCATCACTTTTATATTTGGTAACTTATACTCTGTATTATATTTTATCATTTATCTCTCTCACTTTTGAACCATACTAATTATTTTATCATTTCTATCATTGGTCTCACTTAAATAATAAATACTTCCTCCGTTACATATTATGTGCAACATTTTCCAAAAACGGAAGTTACACATTATGTGCAACAAACTAAAACTTTCCTATTTTAGTAAAAAAATTTGAATAAAATTACCTACATAGCCTTAGTAAAATTCAATTAAGACATTAAAACATATATTATTAAGTTATTGATAACTCTAATTAATCTAATAATTTACACCTAATTCAACCCCAAAGGCCCAAACTAATCAGATTCATTCTTCCAACCCCATCAACCCCTGTAGGCCTGTAATTTCATTTCTCACCATCTCCTTCAACCATCTTCTTCATTCAACCATCACCTTCAGTGGCAAACACCGTACCACCACCATCTCTACTTTCTCTCTCTTCCTTCTCTTTTTGTTTCATTCTTGTCACTAAAACTCAAATGTGAAGGTTTTATGGTCAAATTTAACCATAAAAATTCTAGATCTAGAATTTTAGTGGTTAAATTTGACCAAATAAAGCTTCAATTGATGATAGAGTCGGGTTTCATGGTGTTCAATTGATGATGAGAAGGTAATGGTTTTTCATTTGTATTATTAGGGTTGGTTTTTTTTTTGTAGGGTCGGGATTCATGGTGTTCGATTTGGAGTGGTGGTTTTGGGGGTGGGTATGACTATTTAGGGTGGGTTAGGTGGGTATTTCGAGGTGGGTGAGGTTTTTTGGAAGGGTTTATTTGGTTATGGGTGGTTTCTTGGTGGTTTACGAGGTGGGGCGGAAGTCGAGATCTTGGTGGTGGTGTGGTAGGTCTGTGGCTAAGGTGGGTGGTGGTTTCTTGGTGGTTTACGAGGTGGGTCTGTGGCGGGGTAGTGGCCTGGTGGGTGGTGGTGTGGCAGGGTAGTGGCCTGGTGGGTGGGGGTGTGGTGGGGTAGTGGCCTGGTGGGTGGTGGGTGGTGGTGTGGGTTGAATTAATTAATCATCCACTTTACCCTAATCACATGCCCCTACCCTGTTAATTAGGCTTTTTTTTCTTGGGAAATGTGCACACCTCTTTGTTGCACATAATGTGTAATAGAGGAAGTATATATATCCTCTTTTACATGCTTTCTTCCCATCTTGCTTTTACAAATTTACTATAATAATTCATTCACCCACCTACAATATTATATTACTTTTCTAAAATTCCGTGCATTTTTAAGTGATACAAATAAAAAAAACGGAGGGAGTACTACCTTAAATACGTGGCGAGCATCAATCGGTGATTTCTCCTAAGGAATACTCCATAGCCTCAGGACGATTGTAAACTAATTCGGTTGGAGGGCGGAACCCTAATGGGGTAGGTGATTAAAACGTGGTTCGACTATTTGGATGTTGACAACAGTAGGGATTAGGGAAGAGAGATGAAGCTTTGCTCCGACTTCACATTTAGTGGCTCTTTCGAGTTTTGATAGCTTCCACCCTTGAAGTTAAAATACATTGCCCTTAGGGGTGTCCATAATTCGGATAAAAACCGAAATCCAATCCATTCCAAACCGAATTATCAATTCGGATCGGATCCGAACTTTAAATCGGATTGGATCGGATTTACCCTAATTGGATCCAATCCAAACCGAAAACCGAATTGTAAAATTAAGCTTGTATAAATATGGATTTCTTTAATTTTTGAAGTTTAGGTCAAATACTTACTACTACAAAAAATAAATTAGGGAGACTTTGTATTAATTAATTAATGACTTGACGTTGAGCTATTTATTTTACTCATTATTTTAAAGACTTTTAGTTGTATTAAAGCTTTATTTTTATAATTGTATTAGGAGCTAAAAAATAATGTATTATAATCCGGATTTTCGGATCGGATCCAAATAACCGAATTTTAATTCGGATTGGATCAAGAGAGAAATTCGGATCGGATCGGATTGAAAAATTGAAAACCGAATTATATTTCGGATTGGATCGGATTTGGACGAAATCCAAACCGAAAACCGAACGGACACCCCTAATTGCCCTTTTCGTCACACTTACAAGAGTTGTAAAAACCCATTAAAATGTATCCAAAATTCAAGAGCCATTGGGCTAGCTCAATCAAGCCCAGACTATTCTATTTGTATTTAGTCTATATGAATATATGATGTTTTCTTACTCTTTCACATTCATACTTTTTGGTGTTTAAAGAGCCACAAAGGTAAGTGATGAGAATCGGTTTCAGAATCCCCTAAAATCTAGAGAAAATATTTTATTATTTGATTTATCCCTCGCTATCACAATCACACTTTGTATCTATTTGTTCATACTTGTAATAAGTATTAACTTGCTACACATGCCATTATCGACTCAATAAACACCCGATAACCAGCAAACCTTTAGATAAGTAAGCTACTGACTGAATCATTGAATTACATGGGGAAACCTAAGTTTGATTTAAGCAAACTCAATTTGAGAAGAATAGATCAAAATGGCACAAATATAATTGGGTAAATTTTGAAGAAAAATTTTGGGCACTTTTTAGATGGAAGTTATTGATGACAGTTATTATATTCAACTAGTTTGTAGCCCGGGCGATGCTCCGCGTTATTACTTTGAACACTTGTAATTGAATAGATATATTATTTATTTATTTATTCATTAGTTATTTATTTTTAATAGTTTTTCATTAAATCTTTGGATAAATTATTTATGGAACAACTATTGATTATTTATATAAACATGTTCTTTGTATAAATTTTATAATTATTATCAAAATAACATAATCGATTTTTTTGTAAGACTTAAAGGTTCAGATCTCCAATCCATATATTTATATTTATGAGTTGGATATAAAAGCATGATTATTTTATGTAGATGAGATGGTAAGTCATTTAACGCGCATTTTTAGGTAAGTTTTTTAATATTTCCTCCGTTCTTTTATTATTGCACCACTTGTCTTTTTAGGAAGTTTCACAAATATTGCACCATTTCCTCTTTAGGAAAAAAGTTATTTGTGTTCACACTACAAATACCCAACATACCCTTGTCTTTTCACACTTACTTTTTAATTTATCAATATGTCACATGATCAATTTTGTATTTTTACCTTTCTCTCTCTTACTTTTTTCCTCTACCAAAATATTAGTACCCAACCCCTATGGTGCAATAATAAAAAAAACGGAGGAAGTATATAAGTATAGATATAGGCCCTGTTTGGTTTGACGTAAAAGGTTTTCATGGAAAATGAATTTTCCATTTTTTCCCATTTTCCTTTGTTTGGTTTGTTAAGGGGTGGAAAACATTTTCCTTCTCAAACCAAGGGAAGCCACATTTTTCTCTCTCTTCCTTACCTCTTTATTTACTTCCCTCTCATTCATCCTTACATTTCCACTCTTATTTTTTATTTTTCTTGGACTTTTCTTGTATGCAACCAAACAAAGGAAAACTAATTTGCAATTGTGTTTTTCCTTGAAAAAATATTTTCCATGAAAACTAATTTTCCATTGAAAATGTTTTACTTTAAACCAAAGGGGGCCTTAGATATAGATTAGTTTCCGTCAAATTTATGCTCAAACTCTACTGAAACCTTACTGTCAATGATTTCAAAAGCTATTGAGACAATGCTTTACCTTCAAGCTCCAACTAGAATTGCTTTAAATTCATTTGTAGGTTGAGAGATACTCCGTATGTACACAAGTTCAGGGTTTATTATTCAATAATTATAAGACACAATCATCAATTACGAACGAATAAAGTGTAATCAACTGACTAAGGACTATATTACATTTGTTTTTAAAAGTTCCACCTCCTTTACTATTCATGCAATCAAAATAAAAAAAATTTGACCACATTTTATTATTTATACAATCAAAAGGAATTAACACATTTGATCTTATTAGATTCCCGAGAAAATACAAGTTCATCTTGGTGATAAACAAAATTTGTTTATCTAATGGCATTTTTGTAAATAAATTAACAAAAAATCCTAGTCAGCATGACATTCTCGTAAATAAGTTAACATTTGTGGGACCCGCATATATATTAATAAAAGTTGTTAACTTATTTACAAAAATGCCATGCTGACTGGAGTGAATTGTTGATATATTTACGAAAATGTCATTAGATAAACAAATTTTGTTTATCATAAAGATGAATGGGGGCTCCCGAAGAATTTTTCAAATAACAATTTTTCATAAATTTTACTTATACATATCCGAAGTTATTAATAGTTTTTTTTTTTTTTTTTTTTTTTTTTTTTACAAGAGCAACTAGAATAAAATTACACCGAGAACGAAACTAAATTTCTTCTACAACTACCTGCTATGAAGTGCGCTTGGGAGATTTGATCCCTCCCGACTTTCCATAAAGTGCACATGTCAAAAGAACCTCCCACTTTGAGAAGTTCTTGTAAAGTCCATAAGAGTCTCACTTCCCTTCTATTAGGCGACCTCAGCATTTGGACAATAGAAAATGAATCTGTACAAATTGTAATGCATTGGTAGCCTTTCGTCTTTGCCCAACTGATGGCTTTTAAGCAAGCCGTCAGTTCCGCATGCAAGGCCGACATAGTGCCGTACTCCCCTCCCGCATCCCAAAAATTGACCGCATCAAGAGAATAAGCCCATCCAAAACCAGCATGTCCCGTGGTTTTGTCCCATGACCCATCCACCTTAAGTATCACTGCATTGTCTCCTTGCATTGGTGTAGTAGGGAGGTCCCCTCTCCTACCAATGTTCACCCTACAGTAACCTGGCGGTTGATCCCCATTACTAGCTAAATGTCGAGAGTGCTCCTTAGGACGACTATCTGGCTTAAGAAAAGATTCAAGACTATTCATAGTTTGACTCAAGTGTCTGAAGTAGTCTGCCACATACCCCCTTTCATTTCGAAAAACTCTACCATTTTTGGTTAGCCATAGACTCCACAGAACTCCCACAACGGCTTGTAGGCGTTCACTTCGTTTCCCATCCTCGCTATTAAAAAGCAGGATATAATGTTGAATCCAGTGTCTCAAAGAGGTAGATTCATTAATTTCAGTGAGAATATGCAAAGAACTATTATTCCATGCATACCTCGCAAAAGAGCAGAACCTAAAAAGGTGCTGCAAGTCTTCATCCATCATTCCACACGAAACACAGGCCCCTTCAATATCCACCCCCCTCCGTATCAAGTTTGACCTGACAGCCAATCCATTCATAACCAATTTCCATAAGAAAAGGCTCCATTTAGGGGGAATATTTAAACTACAAATGAGCTTAAAGAATTTGTAATCTTGATCTGCAACCTGTTCCAAAGAAGAGCTATTAATTAAAAAAGCATACCCCGTCTTAACAGAATAGTTTCCAGAAGGGTGAGAGTTCCTGTATAGGATATCCTCATTATTTTCCACTAGCAATTCCATTTCTAGGATTCTTCTAGCCGTGTCCCACTCAAACCTTTCCCGAACTATAGCCGCATTCCATTGTCTTGTGTCTTCTATAAAGAGATCTTTAACCTTACCTGTGCCTATGCCCTGTGTAGGCGTCGTTCAAAGTGCGCCTACGTAAAAGCATGTGTGAATATGCTTGGCACTCTTAGGAAGTGGGAATTGACATATACGAGTAGGGACAAGGAAAGTAGGGAGCCGCCAACAAGTTTTTAAGGAACTTGTAAACCGTTCACGGATCATAAAAGGCAACCACGATTAAGGGACAACAATAGGCAACAACGATTGACCCGTGAAGGTTACACCCCATTCATAATCCATGAGATTACTAACTCCATATGGTTCGGAACCACGAAAGGAGGATCGGGGATGATGGTACGAAGTGAGTCATGGAGTCACATTCGCCCGTATTGGCCTCTACTCGATTCTTATAATGAAAAGTGATTCCTGCGATCTCAAAGGCATGCAAACAAAAATTCAATTTGCTCCAAACTATTATTAAGCTAAATTGGTTGAATATTAATGCAACATATAATTCTAAAATATCGTGACCACTTGATTAAACAATAAGATTAAAAGGAACCTAAACCGGTTGTCCAAATTATCTTATTAGGTGTGATTTTCAATTACGTATTCCCTTTAAACATGAAATATGGTGATCATAAAAATAATAATAGAATAAACATTAATATTGGAAGCAATTTAACCATAATATCGTTAGTCAAATTAAATATAAAATAACCTGATCATGATACTAACAATATTAAAATAAAATAAGAGTAATTAAATTAATTAATTACTCACATTCCACACGTTCCTTTAAATTGCTACATCATGAATAAATTGTTAGTAACTTCAATAAAAATATAAAGCAAATGAAAATTAAATTAAATAAATATAGATTTGATTTGGTCCAAATCCTCAGTCAATTATACCTTTCACGCCTTGGTTTAAGGACAGAACCTCGGGTTAAGTATGGACTCCTTGGAGTGCTTAGGGGAAGTATTATTGAAGAATAGGGAGGCTAGTATTTAGGCTAAAGAGGGAGAAGAGAATGATTTTGTGATCAAGCTTGTTGATGATTGGAAAAAGGGGTGATATGACCTCTATTTATAGAGAAAAAAAGAAGGGTCGAAAAAACAAGATAAGATCCGAATTAAATCGGAATCAAACTCGATAGACTGCAGTTTTTGCGGTTTTTGTTTTTATCATATCTTTTGATCCAGAAATCGGAATAAGATATCGTTGGAAAGCTCTTGAAGTCTACTTTCTAACCCAATTAGAATAAGATTAAAATATTTTGTAGAATGGACGAAATAGTGAGACGGTGTTAGTTTTGGATAGACTTTGACATTTTACACTACTAGAAATAGGCCTATCTCCGACGGACTGGTTCCAACGGATATGTAATTCCGTCGGAAAACTCAGAAATTCCGACGGAATAAAAATCCGTAGGAATATATGGGCTTTCCGACAGAATATTCGGTCGGAAATTACATTTTCCGACGGAATACAAATCCGTCGGAAGTTTCCGACAGAAATTTCCGTCGCAACATATTTTAAAAAAACAAAACAAACAACCTCCTTAAAAACTAAAAACCCTAAATCCCCACTTCACTTTTCCGCCCCTAATCTCTCTTTCCCCCTTCTCCTTCTATCTCTTCTTTCATTCTCTCGATCCTCTTCTCTCTCCTCATTCTACCACCGTCCCCCTTCTCCTTCTTTTTCTTTCTCCTTATATTTCCCTTTCGACCTCCTTCTGTCTCCTTTTCGATCTCCTTCTGTCCCCCTTATTAATTTTCGTTCATCTTCTCTCATCTCTTTCACCCACCTTACTACCACCGTTCCGCCGCAATAACACCAACAACATCGATATCAACTAAAACGGCACCAACAATGACATCAACAACGAAGGTTTTTGGTCAAATTCGACCATGAAAACTTTAGATCTAGAGTTTTCATGGTCGAATTTGGCTTATAAACCCAATTTTGAGGTTATTTTTGGTCAAATTAAGGTAATTATCTATTTTTTTCTTAATTTTGATTTTATTTTGTTAATTTTGTTTTGGGTTTTTTTTTTTTTGAAATATATGGTTGTGGTGGTGGTGGTTGGAGTTCCGATTTTGGGGGTTGGGTTGGTGATGATGTGTGTTCAGATTTTTTTGATTTTTTTTTTGGGTTGCGGTGTCGTGGTCGGTAGATCTAGGTATGTGGGGTTTAAATTGGTGCTGAAGGGAGGGAGGTGGTAGTGGGTAGATCTGGGTTTTGGGTAGGGATTTTTTTTTATGTTTGTTTTTTTGTTGCGGTGGGGTGGTTTGGCGGTGGGAACTGGTGGGGATATAGGTCTGTTGGTGGGTAAGTTAGGGGTTGGAGGTGGTTAAACGCCGTGCCAGTGGTGGTGCGGCGTTTTTTTTATTTCGGTTGAAACTGTTTCCGACGGAATCCCCGTCGGAAATTTACGACGGAATGTAAAATCCGTCGGAAATTTACGACGGATTTTCCCAGTGCCGAAAATTGTCTTCAGACGGAAAATTTCGTCGAAAATTCCGTCGGAAAAGTGTTTCCGACGAAATTTACGACGGAAAATGTCATTTTTCCTACGATGCCTTTTCCGACGGACCAACGCCGACGGAATTCCGTCGGAAACCCGCTTTCCGACGGAAAACAGGTTGTTTCCAAGGAAAAAAGTCCGTCGGAAAACGGTCTTTTTCTTGTAGTGTTATTCATATCTTTTCCGTTATAGCTCGGAATTGATATTATAATATATCATTGGAAAGATAATTTCAAGGGCTATCCAACCATATAAAATTTGGATAAAAACTATGAGGCACGAAACTAATATCTGTCTATCTTTGAATGTCTTTCAATTCGAATAAAATTAGGACTTTTAAAAAAAGGAGTTTTATTCAATTTCAAACTCTTTAATCTTATCTTTTCAAAACGGATAATTAAGATCTTTTAGAAACTTGTAGAAGCTTCCAATTAATCCTAATTGGTTTAGGAATTGGATTAAATAATTTGGACCCTCCACATGATCATTGGGTCGTAGGTAAGGTGGGCTTAGGTTCGGTTTGGGCTCAGTTTAATATTTTGGCCATAACTTATTCGTTATAAATCGGATTTGGGCTTATAATATATCGTTGGAAATCTCTTTTAAAGCCCCATACAACTATTAAATCATTGGACCCATATTATGGACCAAAATAAAAAGGGCACGAAATGAATGATTTTAAAGGATACGAAATGAAATATTTTGGGTTTAAAGGCACGAAAAGAGGAAAATAAGTGAAGGTTTGGGAAAATGGGCTAGGAATTGGGTTGGTTTATAAAATGAAAATATGGATTTGAATATGGATTTAAGCACTCCAAAGATTAAATACTCAACCCGACCAATAATGGCGGTAAAAGGTTGTTCATCATCGGGTTTGGTTTTGGGGAGACATTTTTAGGTGTCTACACCCTGCAGAGTAATATCAGATTTGAATTCAGGTACAACACCCTGCACCCATCTCATATTTGCAATTTTAACTCTTTCCCCATTCCCTATTTTCCAGGCATAACCCTTTAATAGTTTGTTCCCCGCGTATCGGAGGCCACGCCGACCCCATGACACGTTTCCAGCCGTCATTTTCATGGGCTTACCAGTACAAATCGAACACACATGAGTTGGCTCCAGAACACGAGCGACAAGCAGCTGGGGATTGCAATGCATTCGAACTACTTGTCTGAATAATAGGGCCTCATTTAAACATCCCATGGCCCGAATGCCAAGACCCCCCATTCCTTTTGGTTGTTGTAAGGTCTCTCTGTTCACCCAATGCATACCTTTATCTCGTCTTCCTGCCCAGAAGAACCTACCTATCAAAGAGTCAATTTTATTAGTAACAGAAGTAGGTAACTTGAAACACTTCATCACATGCGACGAAATACTTATCAGCACCGTATTTATCAATATCAGTTTTGCTAACTGGGATAAATTAATAGTATTCCAGGACATAATTCTTCTTGACACATTGTCAATCAGGAACTGAAACGCCCCTTTCTTCCCTGCAGAGAAATCGATAGGGGCTCTTAAGTGTCGTTCCATCAAGGACACTTGCCCTACTCGGAGATTATTTTTATACTCCTCCACATCCTCCTGTTGGGCGTTCTTGCTAAACTTAACAAAGGACTTGTCCAAGTTTAGCTGCTTCCCAGATACCTCCCTAAACCTCGTAAGGATTTCCACTATATTCCTGCATGAAAACTCAGAAGCTTGGAAGAACAGCACAGCATCATCTGCAAAAAATAAGTGAGAAATAAAAGGGGACCTCCTAGTCGCTCGCAGACCCTGAATTTGGTTGATATTTTCCGCCATTGAGAGCATGTGAGACAAAATGTCCATACAAAATAGGAACAAATAAGGGGATAGGGGATCCCCTCGCCTTAAACCACAAGTCGGCTAAAAAGACTCAGAAACTTGTCCATTCACTAGTGTTTTATACGAAACTATAAAGATACACTGGGAACTCCGTTGTACCCAAACTGGAGGAAAGCCATACACCTTTAGCACTTGAAGTAAAAAACCCCAATCAACTCTGTCATAAGCCTTTGACATGTCCAATTTTATCACAGCTTTAGTGGACACACCATTGCTTGTATTAATCAGATGCAAGAGTTCATGGCTCAATTGAACATTATCTTCAACATATTTTCCCGGCACAAAAGCATGCTGAAACTCGCTGATGAGAGTTGCTAACAAGTGCTTCATTCTATTTACAAGGCATTTAGCTATGCACTTATAAATAGTGTTACAAAGGCTTATAGGTCGAAATTGCGAAGCCGTTTCCGAGATGTCCACTTTCGGAATCATAATTAATAAAGAAGCATTAAGCTCCTTTAATAAATAACCTGTAGAGAAAAAATTTTGCACCGACTGCACCACTGAAGTTCCAACCAAATCCTAGTGCTGATGAAAAAATTCCGCAATGAAACCA